TAAAGGATTTTGTGTTAATCCAATTGAATTAATTACAAAATATTCTAAGCTAAGGCCTCAAAATGTACAGCATCAAAGGTTCCTTTGCAATTTTCAAAAGGGAAAATGCACACGTCAGTGTGTTGGTATTAATAAGTTATCAAAAATCCCTAATGTTGTTGCGCGATTTTTGGGCTTGACAGATTCTAATTTATATACAGGACATCTGCAACTATCTTGGCCAATGCTGGAGGGGATATTACAACACTCAAACGCCACGGTGGATGGAAGTCATCTATCGTGGCAGAAGGTTATATAGAAGAGTCAATTTCCAGCAAAATTGATATTGCTAAAAAGATGTAAGTGGTGCAGACTCCTGTAGGAAGCACAAGCAAAGGGGCAACCTGTTCTATAAATTTATCACAGTCATAAAATGATTCCAATAATCCTTTGGCATCAAATTACGACTTACCATACCATAAATGTTAATGCTAATATTAATAAGTAGGTAAATTGTAAGTTTGTAACATTTTAGGTTACTTGTTGACTTATTACTGTTTCAAATTGGTTTTCCAATAAAAACTAAAAAAATAAACCAAACATTTGACTTTTAATGACTTCTATAAGTCACTAGTGGATTATAAGTCATAACTTACTAGTGACTTATGACTTATAACAACTCACTAGTAACTTATAGGCCACATTTTTCCTTTAAAACCAAAGAAATCATTATATATAAGTGTTGGATAAAGTAACTTAGGTACACAGTAATCACCTGTGTAAATTTACTTGTATAAACTTGTGTAACTTGTGTCAACTTGTGTAAATTTCCATGAAATTTTATGTGGGTAAATATATTTAAGTCATAGAGGTCAATGATTTCGCTGCCAATATTTAGCTACAGGTATTTTACATGATTAAGAACTATAATAAGTGACATATTAACAGAGAAATCAACAAAATGTGATCTTTTATCTACTTCGTATAACCACAATGTCTATATACTCTGTCTACTTCATGAAAAAACAATTTTTAATACCAACATTAAGATCACTGTCGTTTTAATGTAGCGTGAAGAATTTGTCGATTAAATACAAACACCGCCGTTAAAGTCTATAATGTTTTTAATAATGAAGTTGTTCCAGGAGTCTATTACCTTTTTCTCATAATGTTTTTTTGTGGCGCATTTTTGGAATAATTCGGACAGACGGATAAAAAAATATTAAGTATAGAGACAGACGTAAGATATAATGAAATAGAAATGTTAGCGTGAATATAATAATTTTACAGGACATTAGTTACTTTTTAGGCTTTTTTGCGACAAAATTTTTCAATAAATTAAGGTAAAGTAGGTAACAGAACACTGACGTTGCACCTTTAACCGACGGAAACCGTTCTATTTTATAGAGGAATTTGTTAATGTTAAATGTTTTTACTTATTTTAAATATGGTACTGAATTAATTAAAGGTTATTCATACATTCCTTTCATACTAAATAATAGTTTAATTATGAAGTAAATAGATAATTTTTGTCCTTTTTAGTAATGTAAAGTATTCGTTTTCCCAAACTATTACGTTAACTGTTAAATCAGAAACAACTTTTGGTCCAATTTTTTTCGAAATCAAAAACTCCAAAATTCTATATATGCAAAATATAAAAGGAAATATTTATACCTAGTAATAATCTCTGTAATAAGTGTAACAATGTTCCAATAAATATATCTTATTTTATAACATTTTCAGATAAAAATGATTGACAAATTTTAAGGAAAACCCAATTGTAATCAAGTTTTAGTAAGTAAAACAACATGTAATTGTTTTTGGATACTTCTAAAATGAAAAAAGACAAAATTTGGGCAAATTATATGAACAGTGCATCTGCAAAACATTTCCGTTATAAAATCAAACAATGAGTAGTATCCTTATACAGGGCGATTTATTAAATGTCAACACACTAATAACGATGTGTCATTTATAGCGGTCGAGCACTTGAGACGAAAGCAAAGTATAAAGTACCTAAGGGAAAATAAATGACAAAATATTCATAGTCACCAAGAGACAACCGGTTTTCAATGGGGATTATGTCTAGCTTCCCGTCTGTAGCAAGTGTCCAACACCATTAGACAGCAAAAAGAAAGGATGGTGGCGCTTTGGTCAAGCCAGGTAATATTAATTGCTTTTTTATTCTTCTCTCGGTCAGCGCAACTAATGGCCAAAGGATCGAAGATTAATTTACATCTGCGGACGTAAGAAAATACGAAAAAAAAATTTAATTTTCCATGTTGCGTCACAGTTTATGATGTGGAGTCTAACATGTGAAAGTATGGAATCGCACCAAACCAGTTTTATGTTTGTAAGAAAGCAGGGTTGCATTTACATTTTTGAGAGCCTAGGCACATCGTTATCATGCCCGTAAACAAGGTTTTGTTTAAAAAAATCGAAAAAATCATTTCCTTACTGAATAATCAATTCAGATTTTTCTGAAGTTACCAGAGGATTATAATTTTTTGTAATATACTACGGGGAGAAATTCATGCGCTTTGGAAACTATAAACAGAGGACATAATGTTAATAGCGAGTCTACAATATACTATAGAACCATTCGAAATCTGTAATCAAATTGATCTTCCCAATTTTGCTTAGTTTTGAAGTAGTTTTGCGACGAGATACTCGAGAATATAGGTACAATACACAAAAATGACTGTATCCACGAATTTTTCATGAAGGGTGTGCCAAATTTTGCAAAGGGCATTCAAATAAATTCACGTAACATTGCTGTAATGAATATTCTCCAAGGTCAAAAAAATTTTTATATATATATATATATATTTTGGAATTTTGTAATCATATAAATTGTTATACAAAATATGCATCACTTATGTCGAATTCTAGTAAAACTATTAGACTCTATCCAGATCATGGTCATGAATGTTTGTTTGCAAATAAAATTTTATATTTTAAACAGTTCGAAGAAACTGAACCTTTGAATATTCTAAAAAAGCTGTAAGCTTCTCTCGATATTGTTCTAATTATCAAATTGCTTTAACGTCTGAATTTTCGAAGCAAGTATACTCAATCTGCTGCAAGAATTTGTGAGCAACAGAGTCTTAGTTGGTAAATTCAGAATCTGAAAATATGGTGGTTTTTTGACGTGTAATGTTTCATAGATTTTTCAGTGCTCTTAACATTTGTGAGCTATAAATGTCACATTAATAGTTATTTGTTTAACCTTGGCTGATTTAATACATTCGGCAACCGCGGCATTAAATCCTGTAATTTACTTCCAAGTTAAACACATTTTCGCCGATCAATTTTAATTTTATCATAATAGCAAACAAAGCTATTTATTTTATATTATTAAAATTATATGATTCTTCTTTCATTAATAATAATAATTTCATTAGGCCGTCTGTGGTTGCACTGAGACGAGCGTTATTAAGTAAATAACTTAATTTCACATTAATCACCATATTGTTCCTATTGAAATTCATAAAAATAACTATTTAGTATTTGAGATGGAAGAATTCACATTAACTCCGCCAGAAATTATTGAATCAGCAAAGCAAATAGAGTGTAATTTATTACCAGAAAAATCGAAGAAGATAAGTATATCAGCAAACATATAAAAAATGTACTATTGGTATATTTTTTTGGATTAAGCAGAAGTATGAAATCTTCATTATGGTCAATATATGCGATGCTCAGAGCTACGTTGAATGTCTACAACAACGTCGATACTGGAAAGTAGGTATCTAAAATTAAAAGAATTCTTGAAACGGCAACGGTATGGATATCGTGCTAAAACATCAGGCATTTTAGAAAATTAACAAATTAAAAAATTTCTTATGGAGGTTCCTGATGATGCGTATTTAGATACAAACGAAGAATACTATTATTTTAGGTGGCAATGATTTTTGCCATATCTGGGCGTGTGGATGTGATAAATTACTTCAAATAAAAATTAGAGATATTGAAGATATGAGAAATAGGTTCCTGGTCACTCTGACAACTACAAAAACAAAGAAAAAAGATCTTTTATTGTAAGCGAATATTTAGACATATATCGGAAATGGAGTACCATAAGACCTACACAAATAGATAGCAACATATTTTTTAAAGCATATAACCAATTAATAGCAATTCATACATTTGGAGAAATGTCAAAACAAGTTGCTGCGTTTCTAAAATTGAAGGATGCTCACGAATATACCGGACATTTTTTCCGTATAACTTCAGCAACACTATTAATAGATTCAGGAACTGATATCACAACTTTAAAAATGCATGGTGGATGGAAATCTTCCAACGGTAGCTGAAGGCTATATTGAGGAATCCATAACTCGTAAATCAATTGTTGGCGAAAAAAATTTCCCTACTGCAAGTACCTACATGAAGTGCTGGAAGCGATTTTTTAAATAATTCAACCACTTTAGAGGATTCAATAGTCCATAAACCATCTACTAGTGAAAACACTTCAACCTACATAGACGACAGTAAATGTTTCAAAACAAACAGGACAAAGGATATCCCATACAGGCTGTAGGTACTAATTTTCACTATAAATGTTTACAATAAATAAAATTACTTTCGTCAAACAAATTTTAATTTTTAATTTAGCGGTAGTAGAAATGATTCTAATGCTTAAGCAGTAAATGTGACACTTTAATGCCTGATGTCGCTGTTCTTCATTAAAACTTTGTTTAGTTGCAGGTAATTTATAGATCTAAACAGTTAATATTGTACTTTAATCAACGATTCTCATTAAGATCTGTTTTGGTGAGTTTTAGGCGATATACCATGTCACTTTTATTTTCTAATAAACGTAAAGTTTTAAAATCGGGTCCCTAACGGACAAATACGGTCCTGTTTCAAAAGACAAGAGATTAACTTATATCAACGGCCATAGGAATGTACGAAAAAAAAAGACAATTTTCCACGTCACGTCATAACGATGATGTGGAACCTAACATGTGAAAGTGTGCGGCATAACACGGAACCAGTTTTATGTTTCTTAGACTTACGGCTAACATTTCGGGGGATCCTCGCCCCTTTTCCCTATCCGTACGGTCCTCCAGTTTGGCGGCGGACCCACAGACCCTCTTAGGCGGAACAACCACACTGCACAGTGTATCAAAATAAACGTTTTAGCACAGCACTCGCGCACTATGCGCCATCGGCCGTTACTTATCGCTCGTTCCAACAATCAAAGGAGGCGACAGCAGTTCATGTACCAAAGGGGAACAATTGAAACTTGCATACATTCATGTGTTTTGATTGAAACTAACTTAATTCGAGCGCCACTTGCTGCCGATTCCCCTGCCTTTTACAACCCCACCGCGCATACATAATATCACACTATAATTTCCGTTTTTTGTTTTATTTTCTTTCGCTGCCCTCCTCTGTCAGGGCGGCCATGCATCCGTAAAACCCGCCCAGTTAATAGCACCCTCAATTATCGCGACGGCGGAGACATCCAGCGGCTGTTAAAGCCAAGAGAGCTTCGTAGCGGTTGCAGTAGACGCCGGCAGGGGGAGCCACCGACCAGCAGCGTTTCAAGGAAACGGATTTGGTTACATGCGGTTTTTTATTATAATACTTTATTGTGTTTTTAATAAGAATTTTCTTAATACAAAGATTTTTTCAATCAATTTTGCCTAAAGCTCCTTTACAAAAATATAAAATAAATTATATTTTTTAAAATTAGGAGTCTTTTTGTTGCGACTTACAATTAGAAAGTTATTTGTAGAATTATTTAAAATATATACAGGGTATTCCGGATATAAATGGAATAAATTTAGGAAAATATACACTACAGGCTGTTACAAATTCGCTTCTCACTACAGGGATCTCGGAAACAGTAAGAGGTACGAAGTAGCTTAAATGGGGGCAAAGTTGCGTAATCAGGGGACCATCATTATGCTTCTAAAAAATCAAGGCTAACATTATTAGTTTTCGAAATATTTGAAAAAACCGAAATTTTGGAAATCCGTTTTTGTTTCATTTCAACCTTGATTGAGGTGATATTGAAAAAAGGAGAACACTTTCTCATGTCCACTTTTTGCCCTCTATCTAATGGCATGATAAATTTTTATATATATCGTTTCGTCTCTCCAGAACCATCATCAACTTCATTTTTTTAAATACCACCCTGGAAATTTTATTACATTTTTGACCCCCAATACTGTACTGCCCCAGCCCGAACCAGATTCAACTATTGTGGGTTTGGGGTTTAAACAACATTATGGGTTTTTTGAACTCCTTGGTTCATTTTTTTCTTTTTAGTACGTTTTAATAAAAGCTTATTTTTAATATATTTTTTTTTATTTTCATTTATTTGCATTTTAAATATGATTCTTCGAGTGTCGTCTTTTTAAAAATGCAATTCATATCTGAATACTTATAGATATTAACTTATATAAAATAGAAGACTTTTATTATACAGGATGTTTCAATTAAAACTTCCCATTTGGAAAATGTTGGAATTAAAAAAAAACAAAAAAGAACCTGAGACACGTCGAGTTTCTTTTCAAGGGGAACACGCTCGGGAACACGTGCTGGCGTAAGTTTTGGTGTCTTAAACTTTAAATAGCACCCTATTTTGAGTGGCACCTCATTTTAAAGCTTTTTCAATTCTGCTCACAACGACATACGAATTTTTAAATTTTGGTTTGGATATGACAATAAAATCATCACTTAAAGAGAATAAGGCAAAATGTCAATGAATGAGAAAATGTTATTTTATTAAAAAAAAACTCCATCCTCTATCAGTTCAACTTTTTTACCTATTTTACATTAAACGAGACAATATTGTCTTGTGGAGCAGAATAGTTGTTTCCTATGATATCGTTATTTATTTATAAAAAAGGTTTTCTTTGAAATTGCTTTTAGAGTACTAGATCTTGGTGGAAAAAATGACTTCACCAGACAAGAATTTTGGAAAAAATATTTACACTTGATTTGAATTAGCTAATGGCTTTTTAAGTAAAGAAAAAGTAGAAAAGTTAATATTAAAATGTATAATAAAAAAATATGAAATTTGAAAATAATAATTTACTGAGATTAAAAAGGAAAACGTGGTTACAGAATGTTGTTTCCAAGTACAAAATCAAATACATACTAAATATTATCGACTTGGACTGTCAATTTTTTTAAGAAACTATAGGTAAATAGAAAAATAAAGATTAATTTGCTAATCAGAAAGAACAATTTGAGGTCAAAGGCTACAGAATTTTTATTGTTTTTATGAGAAGATGTAGTTTATTACCATTTGAGGAAATATTGTAACTTTGTGGTTATTTAAACCTTGTTAATTTTGAGGTTAGGAAATTGCGCCATTTGTACTTAGAAGTAGAACCATTCTTTAAATTTTTTGGCCTTATTTCCGGAACATCCTGTATATATTTCAAAATATAATAAAATTTCAAATTTTACAGTACAAAAAGGATCAGGAGTAATGTTTTGAAGTTTTTATATACATACAGCCATTTTCACAAAATCCCGTTGCCAAAAAATAAATTATGAAACTACTAAGTAGTAGTCACTGAAAAAGTTATGTATTTATTTTTTATACACCAAATTTTATAATTTGACTTATTTTAAGAATGTATGAGAATAAAAAAATATACAGAAAAGATTAAGTAGATACAGGCTGATTCAAAATTCGCTACAAATAATTTAGGGGCGTATTTTTGAGGTTAAAATAAGACTTTTTTTCCTGTAAACGTGAGTCCAAAATATTTTTTTATTTTTTCACCATAAATAGTTATAAAATTTGAAAATATGGTGTGCATTTTATCAGCCAATATCTCGGAAACGGTTGGTCTGAGAGGTTTCGAATTCGACCAAGTATACCTTTTTTGCTTAAAATTGTTAAGGGAATAAAAGCACTAATGCGAAACGTCAATATACAGGGTAGCAAAAAAATTAGATAGGGGAAAATGTTTTTCTATTTCGAAATGCCATACACCGTGGCACAAAAAAGTTGAAACGATTTAAAAGGATCCCAATGGTCGCTTGTGGTGCCCTCTGGTAGATACAGCCAATCGTCCATAAAAATTTGAATTTCCCGTCCCAAGAAACCTATGCATACAAAATTTCATGAATTTAACTCAAAGTAGTCGAGAGTTATTAAAGAAAATGTAATTAATTTTTTTTAAATTTGACATCCTGTAAATCCTAAACGAAGCGTTTCCAGGCCTCAGTTCATAGGAAATTTCTAACTTAAAATTGAACGTAGAATAACATACTGAGGTATGTACATCTCCTCCTGAAACACCCTGTATACAGGGTGGGCCATTAGTGTGAGAAAGTAAAATAATTCCCTTGTTACTAATAATTCAGAAAAAAAGTTGTACAGAATCAAAAAACCTAAAGGATAAAATTAATTTGAAACACACAGGGCGATGAGTAAAAACGGGACACGCCAAATATTAAATTTTTTAAATGGAACACCCTGTATATTTTTAAACATATGGATTTCTGAGAAAATTCTATATATGGCAATATCAACAGTTTAAGATTTTAGCCAAGTTATGTAGAAATTTCTTCGAATTTTGGAATAAACATGACCTCCAAGAAGTTGTATTAAGTTTCAACTACTAACACTTGGAGCAAAAATATTTGACAGAGTTATAGGCAAATGTTAGGCAAAGACTCCTATATTAGCTAATGTCGATATTTTATGCATGGCATTTTTTATAATACGATCATTTTTAGAAAGTTTAAACTTGATTTTCTAAAATTTTTCAAATGGAACACCCTGTTTTTTATTGTTCTATTTTATTCACATATCGGTCCACTTCAACTTTTATTTATTAGTTTTTAAGATATAGCAACATTTCTGAAAAATTTTTTATTATTTTATAGAATACCACAAATAAATATTAACTAATAAAATTAACTCAAAATGGAATGATAAATTACTGACAAGTTGACACAATTGTAACAGTTTCTTCCAAAACCATTTCGTGCGACCGAAAATAATAAAAATTAGGATTTTCCAGAAATGTTGTTATATCTAAAAACTAACAACTTTAGGTGTAGAACATACTTAATAAAAGTTGAACTGGACGGATATATGAATAAAATAGAATAATAATGTACAGGGTATTCCAATTGAAAAATTTTAGAAAATCAAGTTTAAACTTTTTAAAAATGATCGTATTATAAAAAATGCCCTGTATAAAATATCGACATTTGTCTATAACTCCATCAAATATTTTTGCTCTAAGTGTTAGTTAATACAACTTCTTCCAGGTCATATTTTTTCCAAAATTCGAAGAATTTTCTACATAACTTGGCAACCTCGCACTAAAATGACAAACTGTTTATATTGCCATATATAGTTTTCTCGGAAATTAATATATTTAAAAATATACAGGGTGTTCCATTTAAAAAATGTGTTTTTACTCATCACCCTGTATGTACCAAATTAATTTTGTAGTTTTAGTTTCTTGACTTTGTATATAACTTTTATATAAACTTTTTTTCTGTATTCTGAGTAACAAGAGAGTTATTTTACTTTCTCAAACTAATGGCCCACCCTGTATATATATTTTTTGGAAGGTGGGGTGCAAAAAATTCAAACACAGCAATATTATAATAAAAATAGGTGGTTTATTTCATATTAACAAAATAAAATATTTACATACATTTTCTGTACAAATATACATCTAACGTAGACATGGTCCCTAAAACACGTAAGAAACTACACTTTCAAATTAAAAATAAAACGTTACAACTTTCACTGTTCATGAATACTCTGCAAGTAAAGACCGTGGTAACTGCCATAAAAACTGGGTGTCGTCGTATGTAAAATAGGAGTGTTATACTGAGGCAACTGAGGTACACCTGAGGGTACAGAGGATGGCACACACCTACTCTTCACCTGGGGTTGAGATTCACTTTTTATAATCGCTTCCGAAGAGGATTCTTCGTCTGCCTTTGGAGGAGGTGAAGAGGACTCGCTCTTCTTCCCATTCTTATGGGTCTTGACATGTTTGGCGAGGTGATCCGACCTCATGAACCTCTTCGAGCACACCGTACAGGCGAACCTCTTCTCACCCGTATGCGTCCTCAAATGTCGCTGGAGCTCATCGGACCTGGTGAACCTCTTCCCGCAAAACAACCAATTACACACGAAGGGCCTTTCCCCCGTATGCCACCTGAGGTGTGCCTGGAGGTGCGACGTTTTCCCGTACACTTTATCACAGCCTGGGTAGTGGCAGATATGCACCTTCTTCGAAGAAGGCTTCTTCAACCCGTTCTCCTCGTTGATGCAATTGGGACACTGGCATTTTATACATCGTCTAGCTTTCGAGGAGTATGTAGGAAAGTCGACGCCGATCTCCGGCTTGATCATCTTCATCGTAGAGGCGAAGGAGGTCATGTAGTTCGTCTGCGGCCACTGCGCGTACTGCTGGTGGTGTTGGTGGTGCTGCTGGGGTTGGTAACCGCTCGTCGCTATGTCGGCTGGAGGTGGTGAGTGTTGGAACCAGTATTGGTTGCTGTAGGCGTGGCTGTAAGGAGACTGATAGTGCGGAGAATATTCCAAGGGTGATCTGGCCGTCTCCAGGGGTACTTGGGAGACGTAGCCGTCGCTGCTGCAGGACGTGGTGGAGGCCGGTGATAGCTGAGTGTGGGTGTTGAAGGGCTGGTGGGGGTACATTCTGTTGCAGGTTGCTGCCAGGAGGTTCAGTGGAGATATCTACAATAGAGCAATATGTCACTTAAGCTGTTCACATAGTTATTTTACAGAATATGTGCTCTATACAGGATATTTACAAACTCGGAACGGATTTTTTAATGGTTTGTACAATTAGTAATGAGTATTTTCAATTAAAATTAATAATAACCAAAATTGATGAAACTTATTGAGAACTTCTGGAATCGTCTCCGACTTACATACTGCAAAAAAGAGGTAAATAGTTGCGGACGTAAATGGCGTGTCGTACGCTTCTTTGTCTCTTTTTTTGTGGTAAACAGAAACACTGTTAGTTCAATTTTAGTTAATCATTAGTTCCTCTTTAGTTTTCATTGCGGGAACATATGTATTTTATTCTGGAAATTATTGGTGAATACATGTTTAAGTGGAGTCATTTTTTTTATTAATAGGGGATGGACATGAGGTTTAAGCATGAACATGTTCATGAAAACTGCGATTTAGCTGCACATATTTCCAATATAATAAAGAGCCATGCACCAAACAGTGTTATTCGTATCAATGTGGTAAGTTAATATGTATTTAAACTATTTGCAAACATTATTTGTGCAAATCGATTTTTCCACTATGATTTATTTACTCATAAAATATACTCTCCATGTTTGTGAATACCTTGTATAAGACGCCTGAGAAATGTACGATACATGCTTTATTTTTTGAAAAATATGTTTTTGATTTGTATTTACTTAATGAATAGTTGAAAAACTTTAATTAAAGAAATGATTTTCTTATGAATGTTTTGGTTTCTTAACTTCGTGTATAATTACAATATATTTATATTATAAATACATTGATTTAATGTATAATGATTCTTGTGTTTGCTGCATGCGATGTTGCCATATTTATCAGAATATAATACTAATTAATAATATTTATTGTTTTCCTGGCATATTACTATTTTTTTGCACAAGGATACATCGTAGGAAAATTAATAAATTGCTCTGTTTATTATAGCACAAAATTGAACCATAAAAAAAGAAGGTCCAAGATGGTTTCACAGAACCGAAACGTTCATATAAAAATCTGAATCCACAGTGAAATTATTTGCAAAGTGTTACTGTAATGTCTTTGCAGATTTAAAAAATTTTTAAAAATAAAAAAGCAGCAGTGAATTTAACATTTTTTTTCAAAATGTCTCGAAAACTAACAGAGCTACAGCAAGTTTCAAGCACCATTAAGGTAGTAATAGAATTATCTAATATATATCATCAACAAAAGGACCTATTCTTTCATTATATTTTGTACTGTTAATGTCATTAGTTTTAATATGCTGCTCTTCTTTCAACCATCGAATTAAATACTGTTCTTGTTACCCCAGACAACTGTTTTTGAGTTCATAGCATCCTAGTCATAAAAGTGGTAGTCACAAAATTTTATTTAGCATTTTTTTAAGTTTATCGGTGTAAAAAAATAACCAGTATATATTTTTACTTCAAATGTGTTACAAATTATTTTAAAAACGTAAAGTAATTCTATGATGTTGTTTTTGGAATAAGAAAACCTCTAACATGTTTTTTTTTTAATACCAAAAATCATACCAGGCCATGCGTTTGTGGTAATGAAAAACCATTCATGATTTAATATTTCTGTATTGTTTGATATTTTCTCATTAAACGGTTTATGTTTTACTTTCCCTTAAAGTTGTTTTTCAGAATACTGAAAATAATTTGGTTCATACACAAGTTCCATTAGTTTAATTTAAGGATTAAAATTAGCGTAAAAAGAAATGCATTGAAATTTGTATAGTATGAGAATACCTCAATAACCAAGGCAGATATCGAAAACGAATAAGAGTAACCTTTTTATAAAACGAAGAGCGTTCTTTTATATTTTCAATACACAATGTCCATAATTCTAAAGACAAAAAAAAATGTCTCCTGTTTATCAAAGGAATAGTGCATAACTGACGCCCTAGATAAGCAGCGCCAAAACTAATCAAAAATTCTTATTTGTCATATCAAAAAACATAATAGTGCCCATTTTTTTGTTCTTACGTTGACAATTTTCAAAATTATTGACAAATTTCAAAATAAAATTCAAACATTGAACGCCCTGGATCTTTGAAACCAGCAATATTTGCATAAGGTGTATTTGGCTCAATCGACTTATTTTGGCCACCAGTATCTCCAGTTTCGAGATTTCCAAATCTTTCGCAGACACCTTGTATAAATTTTGGATAGCAGTTTTCCCTTCAAAATTACTGTTAAAACATATTCAGGATTTAAAGAACGCAAAATTGCAATTGGAGGAAAAAAAATTCTTATCTGTACTTTTATAAGTGGAAATGGTAAAAGGGCTTAAAATAACCCTAAAAAAAATAAATGCGTGAGCAGGGGCGGTGGAGGGTTGATTTGGGGGGGGGGGGTTGAAAAGTTATGAAAAATTGTATCATTGCGATTTCTGGCGAAAGTCGACGTCAAACAAAAAAGTATACAAAAGTTGTAGATCGTGCAAAAATCTACAATTTTTGTAGTGATCACTTTTTAACATAACCTCAAAATTTTCGAGAAAAATGCGAAAAACAGTTTTTTTTTCTGATTTTTCGTTTTTTATTTCTCATTTCAGCAAAAATAATTTAGTTTTAACGAAACTTGGTAAAAGTATACCTTTCTGTCTTAAATAACCACAATTTTTTTAGATATAAAAATCAAGATGTTTCTGAGATATTTATTTTTTTCGGCCTGAAACACTTTTTTCAAAGAAAAATTCTGCTTAAAAAAATCATCGTACAGAGTTGTGCCGGTAATCATTTTTTTCGTTTTGACATATACTTTTTGGTGAAATAAAGAAATCTGTAACCACAAAAATGACTTGCAACAATGAATTTTTTTTCAGTTATTGTTGAAAATTTGTTTAAATAAAAAAAACACTCAAAAACTGATTACAACATTCAATTCTACGGAAAAAAAAATAAAAAAACTGTGGCTCATTGTTTGACCCAAAACTTTATTTTTGTACAATATTGCTATAAACATCTAAGTCGAATTACAAATCCACAAATGATAAATTATCTAGATTATTTGAGATTTCATCAATACAAAGTATTAACTGCAAAGTCTACTGTTGACGTATTTAAAAAAATTAACCCGATGATGGCCCCTCGAAGACGAAGCGTCGGATTGCAAATATGTTGACGCCACTGTATAGAGCGGAAAAAAGTGGCGTTATAAATATGTAATTTATTTTAAAATTCGTTTTCAAATAAAGCCAGAAAAAAATTAAAACAATTTTGCAAAATTTCGGGTTTTTCCGGATATCTCCGGAACCAAACGGAATTTTAAAACTTTCTAAACGGCATATTGTTAGGTATAAAAAAACGCAACTTTTTTCTATTCTGAGCCACCCCGTAACTCTTACCGTTTCCAAGATTCTAATGCTATCCCACCCTTATCTTGGACACACTGTATATCTGTGAATTCATCAAAATTAAAAAAAAAATAAGTACACTAATAGATCCTATGGAAAAAAAAATTATTATTTATTTTATTTATTCACTATTCGACTTATGTTTATAACAATACTGTACAAAAATAAAGTTTTGGGTCAAACAATGAGACAGTTTTTTTTGTATTTTTTCCGTACAATTGAATGGTGTAATCAGTTTTTGTTTTTTTAAATTTAAACAAATTATCAACAATTACTGAAAAATTCATTGCTGCAAGTCATTTTTTATTTTTTTGCATTTTTGAGCATGTTTTTGAACTGTGATTACAGATTTATTATTTCACCAAAAAGTATATGTCAAAACGAAAAAAAATATTACCGTCAGATCTTTGTACAATGATTTTTCTAAGTAGAAGTTTTCTTCAAAAGAAAAAAAGTGTTCCAGGCCGAAAAAAATGAATATCTCAGAAACTTCTTGATTTTTGTATCTAAATAAATTTGTGGTTATTTAAGATACAGAAAGGTATACTTTCACCAAGTTTCGTCAAAATTAAATTATTTTTGCGAAAATGGGAAATAAAAAATGAAAAATCAGAAAAAAACTTGTTTTTCGCATTTTTCTTGGAAATTTTGTGGTTATGTTAAAAAGTGATCGCTACAAAAGTTGTAGATTTTTGCATGATATTTATTTTTGTATAGGATACTTTTTTGTTTGACGTCAAATTTCTCCAGAATCCCAATGATACAATTTTTCATAACTTTTTAACCCCCCAAATCAACACTCCGCCGTCCCTGCTCACGCATTTATTTTTTTTTTTCGTTTATTACAAGCCCCTTTACCATTTCCACATATAAAAGTCCAGGTAACAATTTTCTTTTTTTTCCCCTCTAAATGAATTATTTCGATCTGTCTAAAAATTTTACAAAGTTTTTAAAATTTTGTTTGTTTTTTTGAAAAATGATATCAAGTATCAATAAAAATTGTGGTTGTAGTTGATTGACTTTTTAATTCAGTGCTTGGTCCAGTACTAAAACAGTAGGGACTCATGATCAACTTAATTTAAATAAATAAATAAAAATTATCGCAGCCGACAAGCCTCCAATATATAATTAAGTTATGATTCAGCAAAAAACAACCACAGAGCATGTACCGCGGCATTTCCCGAATCCAGCCCAATCCACACACACACACACACACACACACACATACAAGATCCACGGATCCGTATCATTACCGATCGGCAATCATTCTAACTGAAGTATTAATAAAACCGCGAGCACACTAATGAGGGGGTATCGCGACAGATTACTATCATTACAGACACGCACCTGCGGTTGCGCACTCGCGCCCTGGTACTGAAGCTGAACTGAAGATGCCATCATTGTCGACACTTAAGCGGCGCACTAATAACTGAGTCGGCCGAGATTGCGGCGTCGGCCGGAGGAACAGATGACGATCTCGATGTCCGGGGGCGTGGCTGCGCGAGGTCCCTGCGCGACAATCCGGCCGGGGGCGACCTCGGAGGACGCCGGGGACAACCCCCCGAGACGCATCCCTTAAGGTCCGCGATCAAAGGCTGCCGTGGAAAGTCGAGGGGTCTCTTATCTGGTCCGGATCGTGATGAAAGTGGAAATGGGCCGAGCGGAGGGCAGGGAACCGGCGAGTAAGCGATGATTATTGGAATCATGGTCGTTACGGCCCGAGGCATAACCCGGATCGGCGGCAGGTGCTTTAATTGTCACAATCGGAAACTAGAAGGTGTGTTAATTTGAACCTCGTTATGTGTCAAATCAAACGAAGCAAATAATTATGTTAACCTGAGAACAATCTGAAGTCGATTTCAAGGGCTTTCAAATTCTAAAATTCATCACGAGAAGAACACTAAATTCTCAGTAAAACAATGAGAAGAAAGTACATTTAACTTTAAAAATAATAAACATTTCTGTTAATAGAAACAGAACTGAATCAGGAATTTGTTTTGATACACTATCTAGAGAGAAGTTGGTAAATTATCACAATCAAACACATAATAGCATGTTTATGAGATGCTTTAACACTAAAATTAATAATAACTTTACTTTCTTCTCTCTACTGGAAGAAGTCGGTCAAGAGCTAGTTTTATCATAAATTAGTTTTACTTTTTTTGAAATTTTAAAGTCTATTACAAGAAGTACTTGAAATTGTGAAATTGAAAAATATTGATAAATTTTAACGTTAAATTCTCAATCACACAATGAAATATTTAACACCTTTAATGAACGTCTTAAAATTGTGAAATTAAAAATATTGGTAAGTTTAACGTTAAATTCTCAATCACACAAAATAAATCCATGATGAGAATAAGATAAACTTAACACTAAATTCTCAATCACACAATGAAATATTTAACACCTTTAATAAATGTCTTAAAATTGTGAAATTGAACAATATTGATAAGTTAAATTCTCAATCACATAACATAAATACATAATGAAAGGAAGATAAATTTAACACTAAATTCTCAATCACATAACATAAATCCATGATGAAAAGAAGATATTTATCACTCAATTCTCAATCACACAATGAATGTAAAAACCTTTAACAGCAAATTTATTGAACATATCTTTACCTATTTTGAAACTGTGAAATTGAAATATATTGCTGAATTTAACGTTAAATTCTCAATTACATAACACTAAAAATTTATTGTACCCACTCACTAGAAAACATTCAACTTAATAGAAACAAATCAAGAGATCTGAAATCCAATACGTTGATAAACTTAACACTAACTTCTTAATCACATTTTTGACATTTAATACTAAAACTACTAAGTACTTAACTTTCCATTACAAGTTTTATAATTTTGATTTATATTTCCAGTAAAATTGAGGTGCAGTGAACACTAGAAACACATAATTTTCTGTAGTAGAACATGTCAGTTGATTTAAAGAAACAGATAAGTAATTATCAATCACACAGTGAAACACCTTTAACATCAAAAATATCCTAATCAATTAACTTTCTGTTAATAAAGACAGAAGTCAATCAGAAATTAGTTTTAATATACTCATTTTTGTCTATTTTGAATTCTGAAACTTTTAATGAGAAGTTGATAAATTTAACAATTATCAATTACAGAATGAGATATGGATATATTTACCATTAAAAATACGAAACTTTTTGTTGATAAACACACAAAAAAACAGGAGTTGGTTTTACAATAAATATTGCTTATTCTGAATATCTAAAATTCATAATGAGAAATATCTAGATAAATTTAACACCCAATTCTCACTTTCCCAATGAGACGTAAATACATTGAACACTAAAAGCGCATAACTTTTTTAATAGAAACATAACATGTTTAGCGTTGGTTTTAATGAACATATTTTTGTCTGTTTTGAAATTTTTATATCCATGATGAAAGACAGATAAATTTACACTATATTCTTAATCACATGGTCAGATATTGATACATTTAACACTAAACACTTTATTTTCTGTTAATAGAAAGTCAGTAATAATCTTATTTTTATCTCTTTTGAAATGCTGAAAACTGTAATAAGATGATACATTTAACACTAAATTCCCAACCACCAAGGGGATGTATATAGATATTATCTTTAAAAATATTAAACAATTAACTTTTTTCTTAATAAAAACATAATCAATCAGAAGTTGGCTAAATGTTTAATAAATTTAGCCTATTTGGAAATAGTCCTGAACGTTGAACACGTGACTTCCTGTTAATAGAAACAAGTATTTTCAATTTATTTTGTCTCTTTTTTTTTCACAATAAGCAGTATGTTTGTATTTAACATTAAAAAATTTTAATTTTTATAGATCAGAATTTTAAACAGTTTCTAAAATCAACTCGTAACTTTAATGTTCAATATTGTACTTTGTAGTACAAAATTTCAAAATAGTTAAGAATTAAGAAAAAAATTTTAATATAAGCTTTACCCAGCATCCTTTTAAAAATGTTTACTGTGATTGATATACATAGTGTTTGTAAAGAAGTGCGAAATATTTTAGGGTTGCCGAAATTATTTTGTGAAAAGAAGTTGATATAAACGTAGGTCGAAATATGCTTCATTTCCGAGATATAGTGTTTAAATTTTAATTTTTTAACTATTTTCATTAATTATTTCAAACAGTTTTAAAGATATTAATTCGAAGTTTGGAAAACGCTTTGGAGGGATAAATAAATGATATTGCAAATTTTCATTAAATTGTTAATGTTCCGTTCAGTTTTCATCGTTTCTTTGGTCTAGAAATGAAGATTACGCGTCAAGATCGTTTATTAAACGCCTGTAAGAAGGCAACCGCTCTCTTACATACATGGAGGCGCATCCCTTCTGAACGCTCAATCGCTATTTGTTTACAGCTTCAAATAACAGTGGAAAAAACAAATTTTCACACTGCAATTACTCATAATTTGTAGTATTTAACATGAACTTTCAAACGCCGCCAGCAGAATTACAAAATACCTATTCAATCAAAAGTTATTAACAATTGAAAATCGCAAAAATTGCATTTTTCGAGTTTTTAACGGCGTTTATCTCGAAAACTATGCTCTTAACAAAAAAATTGCAAGAGACATTTTCTTCTTAAAATGGGTCAAACAACAACAACAATACTTTTTATTTTGCCAAAAACTAAGTTCTCAGTATTTTGCAAGTTTTTTGTTAATAAAAAACTTTTCGACATCCGGGCAAACTTCTACCCAAAAAATCCGTGTTCTGCAGCTCAAAATACACAAAAAAGACTGGGGTAACTCCCTTGTGACCCCCCCGGCTACAGGATTATCAGTAAGTAGTCTTTTTACCTTAATTTTTTTATGTCCGCCTCAAAATTGAGTTCTTCAATAATGGAGAAAGATGAAAATAGGTTAATGGTTCTAAATTGCAATAAATAAACATGACATTCAATAGACCTTACCGCAACATTTTTCTCAATTTTGATATTTGCCCAAAAATCTCAAACTTGGAAACAACGCGGTACACATCGAAATACATTTTATACAGGGTGCTTCAAAATAATGCACCAGGGGTCTATCGTTTTTTGTTGCACAAACTTTTGAAGTTAATTTTTGTTAATGAATTTTGTCAATATCTTATGTGCTTGTAAGCATAAACCACGAATTTTTTAAGGTTACAACATTTTTGAGGTTAGAATTTTAGGATTCTCAGTACGATATTCTTATGTATTTTTTAAATTTCACGCAGAAAATGTGCTGGCAAAATTCATTAAAAAAATAGTTTTAACAGTCTATATCTTGAAAAGAAAAGGTGACAGTTTATTGAAAAAAAAAGATCTTTTTCTAATAGATAGAATTTATATGTTTTCATGAAACACATATTTTCAAAATTTGTTTAATAATTTTATATAAATAAAGAAAAAACGTGCCCCTACATTATTGTCACATTTCCTATCTAAAAACATATCTTGAAAGCTGTCAGTAACCCAACCACCCATCGAAGGGATGTTCTCTGACCCCTATAATGACAGTCCTTAGGAGTTTCTACAATGTGCCAGGCACAAGTGCTGCCCACTCCGAACTGTTCCATCGTAAAGAGATTATCACCGAGGCCGGTTTGGGGGTTGTAAAATTTCTTACGGGTCGTGTCGTAATTCCTAGTAAGTCAATAAAAGATAAGGCATCGCCAGCAAAGTAAACAAAACAACCGAATGGGCTCTGTCGGTAATGTCATTTCACGCCGGGATTTGACTTCCGAAAAATCAACAGATTAACGCGTAAATATGCAGGAATTAACAGATTGTGTGTGCTTGTTTGAGCTGTTTGTCAGTCAAAACGTACAAAGTACATTCAGAAAAATTGCAGAAGTTGTACATTATCAAAATATTTTTTTTTCGTTTAGCGGCACAGGATAATTTACAAATGTACTGGATAAATGTAAAATCTTAAAAAGTGCGAAACGCACTGTTTTTTTTTTAATAAAATGCCCATGGTATTTTAAAAACCTCACCATAAATAAAATTATATAAATTATTTATTATAAAATATATTTTATTATTTATTAATTATATTGCTCTTCTTATTATTAATTTATATTATTTTTTTATACAGGGTGAGTCGAGAGGATCGTACCAAACTCCAGGAATAGATTCTGCACTTCAAAATATTAAGAAAAAACTCAAATGTTGTTTTCATTTGTTTTCAAGCAATAGGGATTTCCTGGTAAACGGTTACATTTATCGGCTTGAACAAAGAGTCCATAATTTTTTCTGATAGTGTCTCTCTTTTCAATAATGTTTAAATTTCTGTGATGTCTAGCAAGAGAAAAAAGTTATGAACAAAACAAATTTTGAGTTCTAGGTAAAATGCTCTCTAGTGGCGCATACTTAGTGAAACTTTTCTCTGACTGGTCCAATA